TCTCGGGTCCTCAGCCGTCGACACCCCTAGCCTGAATCTGCCTGACTTCGGGAGCTAGTGGTCACCCCCAGGTGACCCCTTTGTCACGTGAAATCGCCCTCAGACGCGCCTAAAGGTTCAATAACGGAGGGCAACGGGGCGCCTCCTAAAATACTCAGTTTTGTATGTTTCTATTCTAATCCAAATGTTGAATTTAAGACAATATATAAGCTCACTTTCCCGCAACCCGCTCCCGCCAATATATGAAGCTCGCCTGAGACTTGAGAGGACAAAATCCAGATTAGTGCACGGAGGGGAGGGGGGAGGAGCAGTTAGGACTGACGTTTGCACCTTGCGTTAGGTCTTGTAGCTTTATAGCTAAAGAGGGGAGTTCAGCGAGGCTTATTTTGGGCGCGAACGTGGGCTTTAAGCAGCGCGTGTGAGTGTATTTCAAGCAGATCCATATCTGCCTTCTTTCAAATCGACCGCTTGGTTGAACATGCGCCGTACATAATTTCTGTAATGGGGGAAATGTATAAATAGCCCGAAAATCACCAAGCTCCGAGCTGAACGGAGAGAGATCTGAATCAGCCTAAGGAACTTTCTGAGAACTTTTCAGCCTCTCAGGGGTAGGCAACCTTGGCTCTTTTATGACTCGTGGACTTCAACTCCCAGAATTCCTGAGCCAGCTCTGCTGGCTCAGGAATTCTGGGAGTTGAAGTCCACGAGTCATAAAAGAGCCAAGGTTGCCTACCCCTACGGCCTAGCTTCTGTTACAAACCGGCACAATCGCAAAAGAGAAGTAGAAGCAACCCCGGAAGATATTCGTGTTCCAATTGCGAAGTGGGCCAGGATCAGAAAATCGCCGGGGACGAGAGAGCCTCTCTAAGCGTTGCCTACGTGCCTTTTTAATTTTTTTGAACCTTGGCGGGGCTGGGTGGGGCGGCCGCTGCATAAAAACCAGACGGGAGGGGGCGGGAGAGAAGAGGCGGAGCTGGCCCCTCCTCTGGAATGCCCCGCCCGCCTCCGCCTTTCTTTCTCTAATTCGGGCGGTGTGGGTGTGGGTGTGTGTGTGGGTAGGTGTGGCTGTGTGGCTGGGCCAGATAAGGCAGCCAATCTATCAAGGCGCTTTGATTTCCCTTCCCAATTTTCCGCCACGCCGTCTCCTTCTCAAGGATGAATGGGGCGGCATGTGGGGGGCGGCCGGTTTTCTCCCACCGTCTTCCAAAAGGGTGGCGAACGCGCCCGATTTCCAGGCTGGGACCAGGCCAGCGCATTGCAGACCCGCAGATTAGCCGGCATTCTGGATATCTTTCTGGCTATGTACCCAGAGAGGAGGGGGGGGGGAAGGGAGTCTGTCAAGCGCAGTCACATCTGTTGTGGCTCTTTTGATTAAACCTAGACCTCCTCCGAGAGCGATCCTGGGGGAAGTTCGCCTTAGCAACCTAACGGGGGGGGGGGGAAGGCCACGGCTTCCCTGGGAAGTGCAATTTTTGGGTTGTTGTAGGGTAGCCCCCCTCGAGCGTCTCCCTTAGACTTACGAGGCGGGAGATGTCACAGGTGGGCGGGTGGGGTGTTATCAGCTTCTTCTTTTGTTTAAACTTTTTTTTTAATTTTTCCCAACTCTCCCCCCATACGTATACCGCGATATTTATCACGTGTTAACATACATTCTTTTTTACATTCTTATCTATCAGATACTTTTAATAAAATAAAATAAATTTTGTTATTAATTGCGAAGTCGTGTCCGACCCATCGCGACCCCATGGACAATGTTCCTCCAGGTCTTCCTGTCCTCTACCACCTTCTGGAGTCCATTAAATGTTGGTGTTGCTCGCCCATTTCTCCTTTCACTGTATCCACACTCCTTCTTCTCTACCTTCTTTCTCCCTTTCTCCTCTTTCTTCCCTACTTCCCTCTTCTTCCTCTCCTCTTTCCTTCACCACTCCCCTCCCCTTTCTCCTTCAACCTTCCTACTTCCTTCCCCCCTCCTTTACTCTCTTTTCTCTCTCCTCTCCTTTCTTCCCTCTCATCCCTCTTCAGATACAATTCAGGGGTAATGTCCGAGCAACTCCCCTCTCTAAATTTCCCTATCTGTATTATATATAATAAGATTGATTTTCTATTACGTTAATACTTCTATTTATCTGACCTTCTCGGTATATACTTCTATAAATATTTATACGACCTCCGGTTATTCAATACCGTGTCGCCTGGGTCTCCCTCCTTATCTGTGTTCTTCAGGGCAACGCTATGGGTAACACTCTTTCTATCCTGTTCTTCTTCTATCTCTAAATCATCTGTGCAGCGCTACTCTTTTTAAGGGTGTGTGGGGTGTGTGGAATAAAAGCGCGCAGAGTGGAAACATGCAGAGATCCCAAGGCATTGGCATCCTAATGGATCAGGCTTGTCTCTTTTCCGTCTCGTGGTCAGTTTTAAAGATTTGCCGGAAGCCAAGACGGTTCGGTCCCGTCCATCAGGATTCATCTCAGGCAGCGCCTTCCTTAGTTCTTGAACTCTGAACAGGCGAATGTCCCGCCCGAAAATGTTGGAATTCTCCAAATGTAAACTTTATTAAGTAAGTCTTGATTCCCACCTCTATTGCTTTAGAAGAAAGTCAGAATGACCTCAAGGGGAACCAATTTCCAAGTAGTAAACTTTAAAATCTAATCAAACCCCCAACTTTTTTTTTCTCCTTTCAATTTCAGAAATAGAAGTCGCTTTATGTATTTCGTTTCTCTAAAACCCACAAACAGCCCACCTTCAGTCCTGAAGCCCTCTGGCTGATATTGGGCCAGTCACTCTTTTCCAGCCCACCTTATTTTGCAAAATTGTTGTGGGGAAACTAAGGGGAGCCAGCGCTACAGATACTGCCTTGAACTTTTGAACCAAATGCAGGATATAAAATAAATAAGATGGGGGATAGACACCAATAATCATTCAACGATTGTTTAAATTATAGAGATAATCTCTTAAACAATCACTTTACAGTAAATGTGTGGGTGTGTTTGTGTTGAAAGCAAGTGCAGAGGATATATAGGTGTATAGTATGCTGGGTTCGACTGATTGATATTTTTGTAGGCATTTTCCCGACAATCGCTTTAGTTCTTGTTGTAAATGGAATAAGGAATAGTCTTCTTTCTGTTTATACACCGTTCCCAAATAGTATTTATTTCATTAATGGATATTACCCGTTGTTGGCTTAAGAGTATAACTACCGGTATGCAAAATTCAACTCACCACCTGGAAGCACATACACAAACAGACAAAAACACATTTCAAAATGGAATTCTGTAAGTGTAATTCTCAGGATCTTTCAGTTCTGGCTAAGTGACCCCATCCAACAACTTTTTTAGCCCCACCCGGGACATTTATGCAAGATAGTCCTTTCACTGGCCGTGGTCACATACAACCCGTTGCATCAGGTGAGTCCTACCGTAGTAGATGCATTCTTATCACTTCACTGGTTTTTAACCTTGATGGCTCAGACTGTGGGAAAACGCTCAGCCCGTTTCGTTAATGGTTGACGTCATGTGTGAACCCAGAATTCAGCAAATGGGTTGACTTTGTTGGCTCAACGCATGCGCTTTCTCCTTTACTGTCTTTCAAAGGGCCTTTTAATCGCTCTTTTATTTACTCTGGATGTAGAAAAAAACGGGCTGTGTGGGGGAGTGCGGAGGGAGAAGAAAGAAACGGTACTCCGCATTGGTCTGAAAGGCAAAAACAAACAAAAACTGTCTGCAAACGATTTATCTCAAATCTGAATCCAACGCTCCAGCGGAGAAGACCACAAGATTTTTGTGAGGCTCCTGTTTTTTTCCCCCCCACCCCACCCCACTCCACTTCACAATGAATAAACATGCCATTTTAAATTATCCGTTTTTCACTTCTCTTCTGATTGCTCAAAGCTCCGATCACCATTTTCAACACAGGAGAGAAGCTGTGTATGCAAAGGAGCTAAAGATTTGCTGGTCCCTGAATCAGTTTTACCATCAGTCTCAATCCTGAACTGATTTATTCTTTGGAGAAGATGGTGTCACAAACCTACAGGATAAACTATCTAATAGATTGTGTGAAGAATCATTAAACACTAGGAGTGCAATTCTATGTATATATATGTGTGTGTGTGTGTGTGTGTGTGTATATATATATATATATATATATATATATATATATATATATATATATATATATGAGGGGTCCTTGGTGTTCTCTGAGCTAGAGGTAGGGTTAAAGCAGTGATGATGTTACCTAGTTTGGTAATGAAACGTCTGCAACCAAGCTCAGAGAGTATCAAGGACTCCTCATTTCAACCCTGAGCTATAAATATTCTTTATATATGCCCCAAAAGACCGGGTGGACTTCCTTCCAGGTCAGTGGTGAAATTTATTTTAGTTGCATACGCATACAATTAATTGATTATTTATAATAATTATTATTTATATCATTTTGGTCACCACCAATTTCCCCCTTCTTAGGGTTACTATCATTGCTACCAGTTCATCCTGAAAGATCAGTGCGTTGAAAGGACGTATTAAGCAACAAATCAAATTTTAAGCTAACCTATTCAATTCTTGTGCTTTATTTGTGCTTCTAGGGATGCTTTAGCAAAACACAGCTAATCTGGTTACAGAATTAATCCATTTCTTTATTGGCACAATGCAATTGCGCCATAAATTAATCCAAACACCTAAACCACAAACTGCAGTAGCCCTGATTAAAACTAAGCCTTAAAACGTTAAGGAAATGCCGTCATGTTTGAAACGAGCTGGTTAGAAGTGCCGGTAAAGTCAGGAGATCGGGTAAATTGGGGAAACCGTGTTTCGGTTAAACATGGATAAACGTGGGGGGGGGGGCAGCGCGATCGTTTGGTTTCTTTGACGTGAAAGAAGGACATTCGACGTTTCCCTTCTTCGCTTTCTCCGGATACTCTCATCACTGCTGCTCTTGCTTGCAATTAAAAACCCTTATTAGTCCCGCAAATCCCGAGATTGATTAAACTGGTTTCTTTTTTAAATCAGGAAGTGAAAATGTTGGAATTACCCACAGCTTTTCAGATTGACTCGTAGCTGAACCTTCTCCCTTTTTTAAAAACAACAACAACGGAAGAGCGAACCCTGTCTTGGAGGATGGCATTTGATCGACTTAAATCGCCTTCTCACCAGACTATTTTCTTTACATCTCCGCCTGGGGTTGGCAGGATTTTACACCTCCCTTAGCGGGATGAGGGTTTGGGGGACGGGCGGCGTTTTTGGAATATCCCCGAAATCAGCCTCAAGCTGCCTGGAAGCTGCGCGATCCTCTCTTTCCAGCGCAGCGGCGTAAAAGAGCCCGCGATTCTCGAGGGAATAGCGCGCCGTCTGACTGTGCGCGGTGTTTGGAAGCTCGCGCGGCCCCGCGTTTTCCTAGAAACACCCATCAAGGGTAGGGAGCCCTTCGCTTAATCGAGAGAGAAGGGCGGGAGCGGTGAGGGCTGGAGAGGGCTGCGGGCGAGTGGCAGCCAATCGCGACTCGCCTGCCCAAGTCCAGAATCCGAGGCTGGTGTTTAGCTGGGGTGGTGTGCGGTCGCCGCCGTCGCCCACAGAATCCAAGACGGGCAAACTCAGGTGTACCTGCACCTCTCAGGTAAGCGGGGAGGGGGGGCTGCAGGCGGAGGCTATTCCGAGGGTCCCCCGCTGTCCAAGAGTGTGCGCGACGTCCTGCTAAATGGAAAAGCGCTACTTCTTCTGCCCCAGACTTTTCCTTGCATTCGAGGGGTGCGTTTGTGTATGGTGCAGGTGTGTGTGTGTGAAAGAGAGAGAGAGAGGGAGAGGGAGGAGAGGAAAGAGAGGGAGAGAGGAAAGAGAGAAAGAGGGAGAGAAAAGAGAGAAGGAAGAGAGAGAGACAGAGAGGGAGAGGAGAGAGAAAAAAGGAGGAGAGGAGAAAGAGAGAGAGGGAGAGGAGAGAGAGAAAGAAAGGGGGAGAGGAAAGAGAGAGAGGAAAAAGAGAGAGAGAGACAAAAAGAGGGAGGGAGAGAGAGAAAGAAAGAGGAGGAGAGGAAAAAGAGAAAGAGAGAGAGGGAGAGGAGAGAGAGAAAGAAAGGGGGAGAGGAAAGAGGGAGAGGAAAAAAGAGAGACAAAGAGAGGGAGGGAGAGAGAGAAAGAAAGAGGAGGAGAGGAAAAAGAGAGAGGAAAAAGAGAGAGAGACAAAAAGAGGGAGGGAGAGAGAGAAAGAAAGAGGAGGAGAGGAAAAAGAGAAAGAGAGAGAGGGAGAGGAGAGAGAGAAAGAAAGGGGGAGAGGAAAGAGGGAGAGGAAAAAGAGAGAGAGGAAAAAGAGAGAGAGAGGGAAGGAGGGAGAGAGAGAAAGAAAAGGGGAGAGGAAAGAGGGAGGAAAAAGAGGGAGAGGAAAAAGAGAGAGAGAGGGAGGGAGGGAGAGAGAGAGAGGAAAGAGAGAGAGAGAGAAAGAGAGGGAGGGAGAAGGAGGGAGAGAGACAGACGTTGGATATGGTTGAAAATCTCGCTCTCCTGGAAAAAAAAGCCTTGACATTTTAAATCGCCCCCCCTCTCACACACTCACACGCACACGCTGTCCAGTATTGGACCGAACAGGACAAGAGCTTCAGGTTGCTTGAAAGAAATACTCCGGGAGGGAGGTGCGGGAAGGGTGAAGCTCTCTGGAGGAGGTCCGGGCTTTTCTGAGTTTTTTTTTTAAAGAACCGTCTATTCCTCTGTTAGGCTTGATTTTTCCCCCCCCCCCAGCCCGCCCCCCACCCGGAAGGGCGCGCCGGCGAGACCGGTTGGGGGGGGGGTGCGAAAGAGCGAGGGGGTCCCTTTGGCCCGCCAGGCGGTGGCAGCCGCTCTCCCGTCGGGCTGGGGCCACCTGTGTGAATGCCACCTGGCGGAGGGCAGGGCGGCCTCCCGGCCCGGCGGCTCCTCCCCTCCGCCTTCCCCCGAGGCCGGTGACCAATGGCTCCTTCCCCCTCCGCTTAGGTCCCTGGCAGAGCGACCGGGGCGTCGGAGAGCTTTCGCTGCCGGTGGCGCGCAGAGGGACGAGCGCGGCGGCCGTTTAGTCGAAGCGGTCCGAAGGCGTGAAAACAGCCAGTCCGAGGGGGGGAGGGAGGAGAGACAGAGAGAGGGGGCGGCCAGCCGCAGCCCCCCCTCCCCCGCCATGCCTCGGTCGTTCTTGGTGAAGAGCAAGAAGGCGCACAGCTACCACCAACCCCGCGGCCCCGACGGCGACTACGGCGGCAGCCTGGAGAGCGTCTTGGCTCAGATCTGCGCAGGTAAGAGCCACAAGCCCTCCGGGGACGCCTGCCCGGGCGGCGCAAGGCCATTGGTCTCCGGGCGCCCTGGTCTCCCGCAGGCGGAGATCCCGGAGAAGGTCCGGGTTTTGACGGGCGCGGCTGAGATCACGGAAGAGCCGCCAGGCTGCCCCACCCGCCCCGTCCGCTCGCCGGCTGCGTTGGCTCCACGCGCGGAACCCACCAAGCGGCCCGTCCCACCTTAATCCCTCGCGTCCTAGTAAGGATTGGCGTGGCGGACTCGTTACAGCGTTATAAAGATCGTGGGAACGGGTTGGGACCCGGGCTGAACGGCCTCGATCCCCTTGCTTTGATTCAGCACCCCACCCCACCCCGCACCCCCCCACCCCAAAATCGGGCATCAGCAGCATTCTCGGGGAGAAAAACAACAACAACAGTACTGCGGGCCACTTTAGCTGACTTGTGTTCAGCAGGTTAGCGGTTCAAATCTCACCGGCTCAAGGTTGACTCAGCCTTCCATCCTTCCGGGGTAGGTAAAATGAGGACCCAGATTGTTGGGGGCAATGTATATATATACATTGCTTACTGGTGTACATACACCGCTTAGAGAGTGCTTGCACTTAAAGCGGTATATAAGTCTCACAAATAAATAAATAAATGGTGGTTTGTTTGTTTTTTTCTTCTTTTCTCGTCCCTGGACAGACCGAACGGTTTCGCACCTGGCTCTCCCCGAACGGGATCTCCTCCCGGGTCGCCTCTCCCCGGCTTCGGAGCTTCCCGATGGGGCGGACGGCAGCTCCGATTCGGCCCCCAGCTGCGAAAGCAGCAGCAGCAGCAGCAGCGGGTGCGACCCGGCCGCCGAGATGGAGGATTTCTGGAGACCGCCCTCCCCCTCGGCCTCCCCAGGTAGGGACTGAAAGAGGGGACGGGGGGGGGGAAGGCGGGCGCGTTTGAACCAGGGCGCGTGCCGGGGGGGGCGCATGAAGTAGCCAGGTCCCCCGGCGAGGACCTGAAGAAGATTAGGCTAATTCAGAAGACCCAGGGTTAAAGCTCGCCACCATCTCGGCTTGACGAAGCTTTCCCTGGGCGGGCTGGTTGGAGTAAATAATAATAGACGTCCACGCGGGGTCTTTTTTTAAAGGGGGGAGAGGAGAAGGAGAGAGGGAGCGTTATCCCGACTTTGCGCTATGCAGTGTTTCCCAAACTTGACAATTTTAAGGCATGTGGACTTCAACTCCCAGAATTCCACAGCCAGCAATCATCTATCACAAAGCTCAAGATCCCATGCCTTCATTAAAGCTTGCTTCTATGAACATGCTGGCTGTGGAATTCTGGGAGTTGAAGTCCTCATGCCTTAAAATTGTCAAGTTTGGGAAACACTGCGCTATGGCGAGGTAGACTTTTCTCCGTTGTTCTTGCACGGGTGGAAGCCGGTGGTTCCGAGTCTTGCGGTCGCCGTTACACCGACTTGATTTGATGGCTTCAGCATCCACCCCTTTCCTCGTTTGAAATGCGGAATGAAGGGTGCCCCCGCATTTGGGCCAGGACTCCTTAAAGGTCCACGTTAAAGAGGGGGGGGGGTCTTCGGTTTCCTGCCGAGGAGCCAAATCGCGTGGAGTTCAGCGAGGCTTCCTGCCGGAGAAACTTGGCTGGAGTTGGGGGATTGAACGTCAGGTGCCTGGAGTCCTCGGTTTCCTCGTGCAAGAAGCCCCCCCCCCACACGTCCCTCTGGGACCGCGAGGAAGGGAACGAGGCTTTCCCTCGTTGTCCCCAAACAGTGCCAAGAGCGCGTGGCTTTGTGCAAAACTCGGTGAAGTTTTGGTGTAACGTGTGAACCTTATCTCCTCGAAGATAAGGGTCGGGGCGGGGAGAGGGAGAGAAGACGAGGCACTTTGGGGCGGAAAAAAAGGAGTGAAGCGCCTGCATGCAGTACTGCGGGCTGACTCTGCTCGCTGCCAGGAGTTCGATCCTGACCGGCTCCAGGTTGACTCAGCCTTTCCGTCCTTCCGAGGTCGGTAAAATGAGGACCCAGATTGTTGGGGTGGGGGGGGTGGGGGGGCAGTAGGCTGACTCTGTAGACCGCTGTAAAAACACTATGAGGCTGTACATAAGTGCTATTGCTATAACCCCCGGCGCCACATTAGATCGGACCCACTCCGGGTGAAATCCCCCAGCGGTTTGGGGAGAGAAGCTGAGCTCCGGAGGTGGGGGACGGGTACTGGGGGGGGGGTTAGGCGACGGGCTGGCGTTGCCCCACCAGGAAAGGGCTGAGCAATCCAACTTTCCTCTTTGGGGGAAAGTGACGGGAGCCGAGAAAGAAAAAGGCGCCCCTGATTGACTAATAATAATAAAGTTAGAAGGGATCTTGGAGGTCATCTAGTCCAACCCTCTGCTCAGGCAGGAAACACTATACCATTTCGGACAAATGGCTGTCCAGTCTTTTCTTAAAAACTTCCAGTGTTGGAGCATTCACGCTTCTGGAGGCAGGTTGTTCCACTGGTTAATTGTTCTGTCAGGAAGTTTCTCCTTAGTTCTAGGTTGCTTCTCTCTTTGGTTAGTTTCCACCCATTGCTTCTTGTCCTGCCTTCAGGCGCTTTGGAGAATGACTTGACTCCCTCTTCTTTGTGGCAGCCCCTGAGATATTGGAACACTGCTATCATGTCCCCCCTCATCCTTCTCTTCGTTAAACTAGACATACCCAATTCCAGCAACCGTCCTTCCTTTCTCTCCTCGTCGACCAGAAGAAGCCTCGGCGGGCAACCGCGGCTCCTTCTGGCGACCTTTCCAGACGAGCGCCGTCTCGGGTGGTTCCTTCGGCCTTTGATGTGGTGGGACGCGGGAGGAAGCCGCGCAACTCGCCGCTTGGCGAGGTCGATCGCTTGGCAGCCGTTTTCCCTCCGCTTCCCCCCCCTCCCTCCGTCCCTCCCGCCTCTCTTTTTCTTGGTTTAACTACAAAAAACAAACTTCCTCTTTTACAAACAGCCGATTGAGACGTTTTACGGCTGGCATAAGAAAAGCGTAAAAAGAGCCCTCCGGCAGTGAAAATGGGAAATATTTTTTTATGTTTTATTTTTTTAAAAAAAAAAACACTCCGAAATTCTGAAAACGTCTCTTTCTGGCGTAAAACGAGAGAATAGCCCTCTGTTAGTTTCATTAAGAGATAATTCCCATTAATTAGGAAGATGTATCGTGGCGAGAAGTGAAAACAGCCTCCTGCTTCACCCCCCCCCCGTCCAACCGAGACGGTCAAAAATTTTGACCGAGCTGGATGTTGTGTGTAAAAGTGTCAATTTTGGGCCTCAGGCCAATAAAACGAGAAACTCAGCCGGTGCGTCCATTAAGGAAGAATTTATTCAAAGTCGCCCCAAGATGCAGTTTGTTTTGTGAGGCGGGTGGTCCAAGTTGTGTCACAAGTGGAGGGAAATATCATTGGGGCTAGCAGGATGCCTGTGGAATTTTTCCTGACCAGTCTCTTTCACCCTTTGATGACATAAAAAAACCCTGTTTCATTAAAAAAAAAACAAAGAAAAACACCAAAATAAGCAGCCAGTAGGAATAGCAGAAGAACATCCTGAAGGACTTGGAGCAGTGTTTCTCAACCTTGACAATTTTAAGGCATGTGGACTTCAACTCCCAGAATTCCACAGCCAGCATTGCTGGCTGTGGAATTCTGGGAGTTGAAGTCCACATGCCTTAAAATTGTCAAGGTTGAGAAACACTGACTTGGAGGTTGGCTAGTGGGAGGAGCAGGTAACAATCTGGCAAAACCATGCCTTGAAATTGTTTTATGTGCCTCATGGGAATAATTTTGGGAATGAGGAAGTGCCCACCCTCCTGCTATTTTACGAGCTTGCCCACAGTTTGGGTGCAAAATTTCAAAGACAGTATAAACCCGTTAGCAAAGGTTCAGGTCCCCTGGAACGATTAATGAAATCGTTGGCAACAATTAAACTCTAAAATCCAATGCTGAAGGTGATTTAGTCAGTTTTTCATTAGGACTGCCCCTGGGTTTTATAAAATACGTTTTTTATGGAAGATCTGTCAAGGCAACCTCAAAGACTTTCTGGTGCACTCGGTTAGTCACCAGCCTTTCACCAACTGAAATGACCAGAAGAGGAACAGGATAATTTGGGAATATCTACAGAACTTATTCCTTCTTTGCCTCTGATGTGAATGAAAGCCCATCATTGAAAAGTGACATGCATTCATAATTGTCATAAGACAATACAAATTTATAGATAAATTACTTAAAAGGCAATTAAATCCCCTTGTCTGCCAGGCCTACAATAAAAAAAGATTTTTTTATTCCTTTGATGACACACATCCTTTAATTTCTTTATAAAGTTGTTTTATCTCCTCCCCACACTTAGAAAAGTTGCTTTATTGGTACATTATGAGAGGAAATAGTCTTCAATTACATCTTCATTGGTTAGCTAATGCAAAAACAATAATTATTTAAAATACAAGAGGGATGTGAATATTTGCTGCATTTCTTTTCATTTGGACTGTGTGTTTCAGAGGTCCTCAACCTGGGGGTGGGGGGGGAGGTTAATGACTATTAAAATAGTTATCAGGATGGATGTGAACAATCTGAAAACATATAGATCAGAAGATAAAACTCTGGACTCCACCAGTCCACCCATCTGCTACTTTATTTTCTGATAAAACCTCATTGTGGGAAGTACAAATTGTACTTGACATTGATCCTTTGGTTTTGCATCATTTAACCAAATACAGAAAGAAAGGAAAGAAAGACAGACTTGTGAGCACATAGATTTGCCCTCTCCAGTCTTGATACTTGTTTTCATTTTTTGTTTCATTTTAACTGAACCTATAGTTTTTAAACAAAATTCTCAAATTTTAAAAACATATATAACATGAAGATTTTTTAAAACCCCATAATGGAACAGTTTAATTAATTCAGTTAGTTAATAATTGCATTTAAAAGGTCTAATTCAAAGTAAAGGCACACCTTGTATTTCCAGGTGGAAATATAATAATGTATCCAATATTTGTAAAGCCAACACTGCCTGATCTGAAAAAGCTAAGCAAGATTGGACCAGGTTAATATTTGAATGGGAGGCCAGGGAATTCTCAGAGAATTCTGTAGATTAAACCTATAAGTGAAAACAGAATTAAATCCACACATCCTGGAAATACCGGAAAAGATAATGGCAGTTCCCCTCTGTACTGTTGTCAAGAAAATTACATGGATGTACCCATGATGCATCCAGAAATTAAGTTTGACTCATAAATTTGAAGTGTCAGTTTAGACAAAAAAGGCAAGAATCTGAATTTATAAAATCAGCAGTGTTGTAGTCAAGTTTCCCTGATTCGGGTTGCAAGAGTTGATCGTTTTCAGAGGAATCATTGCAGCAATCCGCAGTCTGACCACTAGTATGTTGGAGAGAAATGTCAGCAAGTCTCTTTTTTTAGGTGCAGAGAAACAAGAAAACCAAAAGAAAAAGTTACAGCCTAAAATCTTTATGGCCCAAGTCTTTTTATTTTGCTGCAGTTAGATATAGTTTGTTTGTTTGTTACAAAGACAACCTGAACTATGTGTTGGTTGAATTTGCTTCAATAAGTTCTCACCTGGAGATTTTGTATTATTGTGTTGAATCTTATTAATGTTGTCATTTGTGGAGCTCTGCTTTGGAAAGCCTAGTCCCACCTCCTCTTAAAAAATTCTAATCTCTAAAGTTTCTGATGATGCTGAAGACAACTGCAACTGGTTAAATTCTAATCAAATCCCAAATGGGAAGTGCTTTTGCTAGTATCTCTTCAACACATCATATTTATATGTCTCATGTATTTAGAAGATGGGCATATATATTGCTGAAGAAGGTTCATGCAGGCGGTCATTTCTGAGGCAAGAAGAATGATAGAATGAATCTCATTGGTATTGTGCCAGGAAAAAAAAAAGAGGCGGAGAATTAATTTCCCTTTAATCTCAACATTCTACAGAAAAGGCGGTGCAGAGTTTATACTTTTGAAAACAGCCTTTTTCTGATTTAGAGCAAAATGCATATGGAAAATATAACATTACTGCATATAGAAACCAGACTCGGGTCATGAAAAACATTGAATTCATATGTAGATGAGTAGTTATTATGAAGCTCATTTAAATATGTGAGGAGAGATTGTTCAGAATGATTATTTATGGCCTACAGAAGTGTTTAATTTTTTCACTGCATGTTATTTCAGATAGAACGTTTTGTGTTTATTTGAAATCCTAGATCAGTGTTTCCCAAACTTGACAATTTTAAGGCATGAGGACTTCAACTCCCAGAATTCCACAGCCAGCAACTGGCTGTGGAGTTCTGGGAGTTGAAGTCCTCATGCCTTAAAATTGTCAAGTTTGGGAAACACTGCCCTAGATAAATGAGAGAGTAGTTTGGTAAAACAAATTTCCTTTCCCTTCCCTCCCTCCCTCCCTCCCTCCCCTCCCCTTTCCATCCCTTCCCTCCATCCCTCCTTCCCTCCCCTTCCCTTCCCTTCCCTTCTCTTCCCTTCCCTTCCTTTCCCATCCCTTTCCCCCTCCCCTCCCCTTCCTTCCCTCCCTTCCCTTCCCTTCCCATCCCATCCCTTTCCCCCTCCCCTCCCCTTCCCTTCCTTCCCTCCCTCCCTCCCTCCCTCCTTCCCTTCCCTTCCCCTCCCGTCCCCTCCCTGCCCTCCCCTCTCCTCCCCTCCCCTCCCCTCCTCTTCCCATCCCTGCCTTTCCCTGCTCTGCTCTGCGGCTTGGGAGTGCATGAGCTTCCTAGTAATTGTCTCTACTCTGTTTGTATCTTACCAGCTTCTGAGCGGTCCATCTGTCCATCCTTGGATGAACCTTCCCACTTCTCCCTGCCCCTGAAACCCTACACATGGAGCAGCCTGGGAAATACTGAACTGAGACATTTGGTACAGAACTGCAGGCCTTGCTCAGCTCTGGAACGTGGTCTCTTCTGTGAGCGGGGATCTGAGCCTGTTCTCTATGCCTCCGAGCGCAACTCAGCTCTTGGACTCTATGGTGACTTTGGCTCTCCTGGACTCTTTGAGCGGCCAGCAGCAGCCCCTGGAATCTTTGTGGAGACCCCACCTGGACTGCAACCGGAGAAGAGTGTAAATAGCATCAAATTGGAATCGGAACTCCTCTGTCGCCCTCTGTTGCTCAGCAGTGGCTCCTACAAATGCATCAAATGCAGCAAGGTAGGAATTGGAGGGGCCAGACCAAGGACGGGCAAACCAAAAGGCAAGGGTGGTCAAAACAGAGATAGATCAATGATCTGAAGAAGTGATGGGAGGTGGGAGTCAGAGTGTCACATGACTTGCCCTGATCGTTTATTGATCACATGATTCAAAATGGTCTGATGCACCAGGCCAAACATTTATTCTATTTTTTTTTTTTTTTGCGCAGTGATCAGTCAACTGCCTACGAGAAATCCACAGCAGGACATGAAATCCAGGCTCATATTCTCCAATATCTATTAAACCTCCCACCCCACACCAAAATCTAGTATTCTGATTCTGATTGTGGGATGGTATACATACAGTAGCTATAAGTCACCATTAATATATTTTCCCTTATATGAATAGATTCTTCATAACTGTGTTCATCACATACCATATATCACAAAAGGTCTAGCATCCTTTACATGAAGCAATCCAGTTTTCAATTGAACTAATCAGTTGATTGAGTTATGGATCACAGGTTTTATATATATATATATATATATATATATATATATATATATATATATATATATATATATATATATATTTTCTGAGGTTTTTGCGGGTGTTTGTATGTAGGTCTTTGGTTATTCGTGTTTTCTCCCACGTCAAATTGGAAGTGTCTTGACGACGTTTCGATGAAGTCTCATTCGTCATCTTCAGGCTGGTGCTTTCGGCTTCGTGCTTCTAGGAGCACGAAGCCGAAAGCACCAGCCTGAAGATGACGAATGAAACTTCGTCGAAACGTCGCCAAGACACTTCCAATTTGTCACGGGAGAAAACACGAATAACCAAAGACATACACACACACACACACACACACACACACACACACACACACACATATATATATATATATATGTCACCTGGATGTATAAAATAGCTTAAACTGGGGAATCCTTCAATGAAACCATCCTTAGAAAACCACTAGAATACAATTCCTGGGAGAACAGCATTAACTGTCAACAGCAAACCACTTCTTAGGAATCCTTTCTATGCCCATGTTGTTCTTTGGTTATTGCTCAGTGGTATCACCAAGGGAAATCCTTGATCAGGCAACTTCCAGAGCCTAGAGTCAGAACCTGCTGTGAGCTTTGGTCCCGAACACTGATGTTTTCTTTCACCTTTTGTTTCTCAGGACTTCTCTACTCCGCATGGCCTAGAGGTCCATGTTCGTCGTTCACACAGTGGCACCCGGCCTTTCGCTTGCGAAATGTGTGGAAAGACATTTGGCCACGCTGTTAGCTTGGAGCAGCATAAAGCTGTGCACTCCCAGGTGAGAGTCCAGGAGGAGATGATTCTGGGGGGAGGGTGTGTGTGATGGAGTCTCCAGGTATCAGAGGGTATGAAGACAATCAGATGGACATTAATTCTGAGGGATTCCTCCAATTGTAGCTCATCTGGAAAAAGACCCATTAAAGTGGGGGTCTTCAAACTTGGCCCTTTTATGAACTTCAACTCCCCAAATTCCTCAGCCAGCGTGCCTGGCTGAGGAATTCTGGGAGTTGAAGTCCACAAGTCATAAAAGGGCCAAGTTTGAAGACCCTGCATTAAAGACTCAAATAAAAGATCTTTCCTACATTTTAGTTCACTAAGAGGAGGCCGCTTAAAGATACACACCATGGCAGGTTTCCATGTAGCGCCTAGAAGTTTGTACAACTGTTATTTATGGCCCAAGTAGTGACATCAGTCCAATCTCCAGATGAATTGGAAGCCTTTTACTACTACCGGTATTAGCAATGGGGTGTAGACAATCTGGGATAGCTAAATGCTTGAGATGATAAGACTGATCCTCTAAAGATTTCTGAAGGGTATCAGGTTGGGAAAAGCTGCTATCTGTGACTGAGCAACGCCTATGGCAAAAATTTAATAATCACTGCTTGAAAAGCCACCTGATTTTCAGTGTCCTCCTCGTAGGGAACCCTTATGCCGAACCCTTCGTTTTTTCCATGCAAATATCATGACCAGAAGAGCAGAATCCTTCAGCATTTCAGCCAAGATGTATGGGAGTGTATGGACTTATCCCCATTCAGAACTGATTCATTCTTTCCAGGTTGTGTAATGACAAGAATCTGGGGAAAGCTTTAGATCAGTGGTTCTCAACGTTTGTGTGACGGCGATCCCCGTAACACAAACGTGCCGCGCATGCGCGGTGCTGCGCGCATGCGCGGTGCCACCCCCATGTGTGTGCGCATGCGCGGCGCCGCCCCCTGAGGGAGGAAAATGGCAGATCGCCTTGTTTGGCGACCCCCGTAAAATGGTCGATCGACCCCAAATGGGGTCGCGACCCATAGGTTGAGAACCACTGCTTTAGATGCAGGCATTGTTGGAGAAAAGCAAAAGAGAGCCAATGAGGGCAAATCGGTGTGCTGGTCCCCAAGTGGTCGGAGCAATACAATTTTTTCCTCACACGTTCTGGCTCCTAAAGCTCATCTTTAGAGCCATTTGCTCACTCACTCAGCATTTTCCTGTCAGCCAGGTGGTTTACAATCCATTGCATTGACCCAGGACCATAGACTCTGCTCCTGAGGCCAAGGTGAAGCAGCAAGTCCCAGGAGAAAAGAGTATGAAGTTTAGGGCAGAAGGAGGTAAAGTTGACCAAGGTTGTGCATGCTGTAATGCAGAGGGAATTTCTTCGGCGCCTCAGTGGAAGAAGCATCAGTCTCCTGATGGTCCTTGAGCTGATATGCTCAAGACCCAGGGGTAGGCAACCTTGGCTCTTTTATGACTCGTGGACTTCAACTCCCAGCATGGCTGGCTCAGGAATTCTGGGAGCTGAAGTCCCCGAGTCATAAAAGAGCCGAAGTTGCCTACCCCTGCTCAAGACCAAATCAGAAAAAGAAGCAATAACTGCATAGGAAAGGTGCACGGTCTCACTGCCAGACACAGCAGGGTTGACTAGAGCAGAGCCCAGAGCTGCTGGTGGGAAAGAGCTGTCCTGCGGTAGACCGATGGATGGCTTCTACATGGGAGGTTTCCTTCCATTTTCCTCAAACCTTACCTAACCCTTTCCAGCAGTTAAGACAGGCTTCATTCTGCATCAGCAATGGGCGGGCTATGAAATGGAGGCCCTTTGTGAGAACTTGTTCTCTGCAAAAATTAAGCGAGGTATCTTCAAGCTGAGGCAGGGAAGTGGTAAGGATCAGCTCTGTGTGTAGGTATACACACACTGTTGCCTGTAAAGAGAAAGAGGATGTGAAAAGCTTTTCGAGCCAGGGGTTCTCAACCTTGGCAACTTTAAGACTTGTGGACTTCAATTCCCAGAATTCCTCAGCCAGCTTTGCTGGCTGAGGAATTCTGGGAGTTGAAGTCCACAAGTCTTAAAGTTGCCAAGGTTGAGAACCCCTGATTTTGGGCTGTCGCATGGAACTTGTTTGATTGCAACAACTATCATTCATCAGACCCCGTTGAGACCTTTCTATTGTATGAACATCGGAGCTGTTGGAAAAACTCATTTTATCATTAGGATGGCGATGAAAGATAAATGATAAATTAAGCCAAATTCAAATTTGGTTGCAATTATTTCTTTAATATATTAACCATGGTTCTTTTTCGGAGGAAGCACAAAATGCAGCTTTTTTTTTTTGAGGATAGCTACTTCAATCATTAAGGGGAAAGAGCTATACTTGATGCAGGCCAGTAAGGGGAGAAGATCAAAGGAATTATACAGGTAGTCCTTGACTTATAACCACAACTGAGCCCAACATTTCTGTTGCTAGGTCAGACATGTGAATTTTGCCCCGTTTTACGACCTTTCTTGCCACAGCTGTTGAGTGAATCAGTGTAGCTGTTCAGTTAGTGACATGTTTGCTAACTGAATCTGGCTTCTCCATTAACATTGCTTGTCAGAAAGTCGCCAAAGGGGATCACATGACCTGGGGACACTGCAACCGTCATAAATAAGAGTCAGTTGCCAAGCATTTGAAATTTTATTATTTGACCACGGGGATGCTGCAACGGTCATAAGTGTGAAAAATGGTGATAATTCACTTTTTTTCAGTGCCTTTGTCATTTTGAACCGTCACTAAATGAAATGTTATAAGTCGAGGACTGCCATTTGAGCCAGGGTGCCTTCTTAAAATATCACAGAACTTGAAACTGAAAAGTGAAGTTTTATGGCTGAATGGGAGCGGATAACAAATTCCCAACTACATTTGGAATATGGTATTCCTTGTTCCTTCCTTGATTTTCTCACTACAGTTTCCCATCCTTTCCGTAAGAATCTTCTTTATAAGGATACAATGTATGAAGACAGAAAATTCATTTCAGGGAAAACTGCACTTTTATTTAGTTTGTTTAATAAGGAAAATACATTGCCATAGATGCTTTTTAATTACATTGTAAGATGGTCAGTCAGGGCTTTTGCTCATACAGTTTAATTCTTTATACTCTGCATTTACATTGCCTAAGCAGCATACTTAGTATAAACCTTGCTTTTTTCTGCATTTTGGATTCTGTTCAGATATTTGCATAAGGCCCAAGTCACATGAGGGAGACTTAAAGGGTGCTTCTCATCGCCCGTGTAATAATAGACCTTCCAGTTTAATTTGATAAGTCCTTGTGGTTCGGCTTCTTCAGATTTGCTTCAAGGTGATAAACAGTTTTCCACAATCACTCAATCAATCAGAATAGAGCTGGAAGGGACCTTGGAGGTCTTCTAGTCCATCCCACTGCTCAAGCAGGAGATCCTATATCATTTCAGATAGATGGCTGTCCAATCTCTTCTTAAAAACCTCCAGTGATAAAGCACCCACAACTTCTGACAGCAAGCTGTTCCACTGGTTAATTGCTCTCACTGTTAGGAAGTTTCTCTGTTGCCTTCTGTGTTGGATCTACTATTTCCATGATACTAATTGGAAATTGAGAGTTGTAGCCCATGTGAATGGCTAGAACTTGCCTGTGGTCTAGGTGATTGCTTTTGGAGAGGAAGTTCTAGATTAGACTGATTTCCATTATGAACCAGTAGACGTAGGCCTAATTATTATTATTGTAATTAAATCTTGCTTTCTCCATAAACATCCAATTTAGACTTGAAGATAGGCTGTGGAAAGGATGGCTTAAAGCAATCTGAACTGAGTTTTCATGTCTGCTACTACCCATTTGCTTCAATGGGAGCTTGTAGGCCTTTTCAAATTACAGATTTGGATAGCTTGACCTAGATCAGGACAGTATCGTTAGGGTGTACTGTTCATTTGTGAAAGAAATCTTGCACTCAAGCAAATCCTATGATTAATTTTCAGATTATGAAAAGGGATTGTACAGCATAAGTCATACTGGAAAGTAATATATTTTCCTTAACACCTTTCACAAGTGTTTTATTTGTTTTAACATTTGGTTATAGCAGTATCACCTTCCTTCCTGGCTTTCCACACAACCTACACTTGTGGAAATTTTCTTTGTAGCTCTTAATGCACAGAGATATTTAGTTTTTATGTCTGGGTAGCCTGTCCTTTTTTGAGATGAAGGTGTGACCTAGATCAGGGGTCCCCACAGCATGCCAGCAACTGGTCCGCACAAACAAGGAAAGCCCCATCCACAGAATGCAGGCAACACACAAAAGTACACCTGCTCCGGTCCGCGGAAAAATCTTTCTCCACAGAACCGGCCCAAAAGGTTGGGGACCTCCGATCTAGATCTATGATCTATGAATTTCTAGAATTAATAAATAACAGTCAAACCATCATTTGGTCCTTCTGTTCCGCCTGGAGCATTTTACATATAAAAAGATTCTGAGTCGCAATACACCTCCATTTGTTGGGTGAGTCAGTTATCCCCACCAAAATAGCAAACACAACTCAATGTTCCTTCGTGCTGTTCACACTAAGGCAGTTTCCTGGGGCTGCAAGTCAAACTTTCCAAATGGAAACCAAGAGGAACAAGACATCTGCATAAATGCACATTTCTTCCAAAGCAGAAGCATTTTAAGCTGTAGAAATCAGGTTTTTGCCATTTAGTGGAATCTTTTCCCTTTTCCCAGTGCAACCAGAAAGGGCAATTAATTTTATAAAAAGGCTAATTGATTCTTCCAATCTATTTTAGAAGTTTGTTGCTATTCATTACTTTCTGTAGGAAACTATCCAGGTGGGAAAGTTTCCTGAATATTCTGAAATATGCCCAGACCCAGATTGTGATCCATTAGTAGCTGGCTAGGGGAATTCTGAGAATTAAAGTCCATATACCTAAAAATTGCCAAGTTTGAGAAACCCTGCACTAGCTCTGCTTACTTTATTTTTCCAAAGCTTAATTATTTATAGATAATTTATAAATATATTTATGTCTGGATGACAGCGATAGAGAGAGAGAGTGAGAGTGAGATAGAGAGAGAGAGAGATAAAATAATTATAATCTAGTTTAATTCTTTTTTCAAAAATATTCCAGATCATTAATAACATTTCCTTAATCCCTTCTTCTACTAAGATTCTTTCCTTTTTCAGATTGTTCTTTAAAACTATACACTAATTTGTTTTACAAAATAGACTTTTTAATCAACTTTTGTTATGTGATGAATCAATTAACAAGGATAAGACCATTCATATTTTAGCTGTACTGCTGTGCCTTGTATAGTTTGGTAAAATCTGTTTTCTTTTTTGTAGGAACGTAGCTTTGACTGTAAGATCTGTGGGAAGAGCTTCAAGAGATCTTCCACTTTGTCCACACACCTTCTCATCCACTCAGATACCCGGCCTTATCCATGTCAGTACTGTGGAAAGAGGTTCCACCAGAAATCTGACATGAAGAAGCATACTTTTATCCATACAGGTGAAGTCTGCATTTTCATCCAGCTTCATAGATACATTGCCTTTTCTTAGTGCTGGGATAAATGTATGGTCATTGATGTACCCCACTAGTTCCTTTTTCCCCCTCTCTCTCTTCATGATCATCATCTCTTATCATCCATCCATCCATCCATCCATCCATCCATCCATCCATCCATCCATCCATCCATCCATCTATCTATCTATCTATCTATCTATCTATCTATCTATCTATCTCATCCCTCCCTCCATCCATTGTACCAATTTTTTTTTAGTAAATCATGGAGAAAATTTTAGAGTCAATATATCTGCTAGTACAGTAGTTCTCAACCTGTGGGTCGGGACCCCATTTAGGGTCGAACAACCATTTCACGGGGGTCGCCAAACAACACAGTCTGCCATTTTTTCCCCCTTCTCCTTAGCTGTGCTACTCCCTTTTATTCTATTGGCTTCTGAAAGCCAATAGAATAGACTCTCTTGAATAGAGTCTAATTCTATTGGCTTTCAAAGCCAATAGGAATTGTCTAGGCTGTCTCTGCCCTGTGAGCCCGCCAGAAGCCCCATTCTGCAAACGATGCTGCACCAGTTGAGTAGTCCTCGACTTACGACCGGTTGGGGGTCACGGCATTAAAAAGGTTGAGAACTACTGTGCTAGTATTAATTCTTTTCAGAAAGATGGATAGTGCTGATTGAAATGGAAGAAATCTTATACTAGAGGATTATAAGACTTAGCCATGTACTGTACATGGAAATATATAAAATAAGTGTAATTTGTTCTTATAATTATTCAGCCAGAACAAAGCAATTTTGTGTCTGTTGTTTTTAGGCATTATGTTAATCATCATCACTTTTTCATTTTTCTTAGCACTAGTCAAAATATGGGAGAACTTAATGAAATATAAAATAGCTGCTGATTGATCATCTACCCTAATTTTAGGAAGTTACAGTTTTTCAGTAGCCACAAAGAAGGCTTATATTTTAAATGCAGGAGGAATGTTCCACTGCATCTCCTCTAATTAATTCACTGAAAATTAATAGCTTTTTGTACACCAAAACTCTTGCAAAAGTGTAGGCTCCATAATTAAGGAAATCATTCCTGATCAGATATAAAATTCACCAAGTGACCTTGGAGAAGTCACTGATTCAACTCTGAATATCTAGCAAAATATTCATGCCTCAGATCACAACCCATTGTTTTGCTGTGAAAGAAATGAGGTATCTTCCTGCGTCTGCTGTGATACTCCTGTCCATTATCTTACAATAGCAGGAAATAAGGGCTACCAAGAAAGGAAAGACAGCTATCTCAGTAATGTAAAAAGAAGGTGTACTATAGACCAGGGGTGGGAAACAATGATCCTTTTATGACTTGTGGACTCAGTTCAACTCATGTTGGCTCAAGAATTCTGGGAGTTGAAGTCCAGAAGTCATAAAGCAGCCATTGTTCTCCACCCCTGCTATAAACCAATAAATGGACAAATATTGAAGCTAGGAGCCCTTATTAATAAAGCTGGGGACATTTTTTTTCTTGTACCAGCATAAAGATTTGTTTTTATGCATTTTTCAGGTATAAAGAACATTTGCATTTGTTCTTGGTTATATTGAGCTAATCCACATAAATGCATCCTCATATTATAATAACAACTATTATATACTACCGTTTGATATTGCTTCTCATGGCTCCAGTAATCAGGAATATCCTCATGTAATTCCCTAGACTGGACCATACACACATTCAGTGTTATAAGTTTGTCCCATCGTGCTGGCTAATCTATAATTAAATTATAAAATCAATCAATCAATCAAATAAATAAATAAATAAAAGCAATTTCTTCCATACTTTTAGACTGGGGAAAAAAGGGGAAGCACCCTATTTCTACAAAAAGGGCATAAAATTTATTGAGGATATCGTTTTCCTGGAGTGAAAGATGTTAGTTTCAGAAAATGCTAAGAATGATGCTTAAAGAATTAGATAGAGTTATCTTATTTAAAAAAATGTTTCTTGTTATGTAACCTGCTACTAGTACTGCTAGTCCCTATGAAGCTTCATGATATAGGAGATTTTCCTACTCCAGATACCCAGGCAAACCCTTGTCTGTTTCGATGGGTTCTGTTACATTGTGCTATCTGGTACTGTAGATTCAAACTTAGCCGCATTGGTAGCATCTATATGAAATGAAATGACTTTATTTTAATAACTGATGAACCCTAGATAAAAGAAGATCACATATGAATCAATAAAAAATAAAGCAAAAAAAATAGGCATCACAGATATAAATCTCTTAAGAGACAATCATGAATTTTAGCAAGAAGTCACATTTGTTTAATAACTAAAAGCTTTAAAATCCAATCATCCTGTGTTTACTGACCATAGCTTCTTTGTGTGACTGGGACATACGTATATCTCAGTGGTGTTAATTTGAAAAAAGTTCAACGCTGACATGTGGCGTGTGGGTAATAACACCTTGCTTGCCTCTCTAACAGTTTCTAAAGCAAGCAGCAGTAGTCAACAACCACAAAAGTAATCTCTTCTACTAGGTGAAACACGAGCAGGTTGTAAGTTTCATTCTGTGTGTGTGTGTGTGTGTGTGTGTGTGTGTGTGTGTGTGTGTGTGTGTACGTGCGCGTGTGCATGTATGTAGATTTCTTGGTAAGGCTTTTCAGAAGTGGTTTGTCATTACCTTCTTCTTAAGGCTCAGAAAGTATGACTGGCTCAAGCTATCCAGCTGACTGTGTCCAAGCAGGAACTAGAACTCATAATCTCCCAGTTTCTAGCCTGGTGCCTTAACCGCTACATCAAACTGGCCTCTTTTCTTTTGTCTTACTGTGTGCTCTGAAGTTATTCATTTAGTTTTTCCAATGAAATAACTTTAGAGCTGTGTGTGATGATGGAGAAAGAGGCATAAACTCAAAAATCATTTTCTCTTTTGATCAACCCAGAAACTAAGGCAACGAATAATGGAGACCAATGAAAAATAACAAGAGATTGACATTTACATGAATGTTTTACACAAGAATGTCCTTTTAGCTAATTTAATCAGCACTGATGGCTGCTATAACTACAACCTGTTCCTTTTTATATTGGGAAGTTCTTGCTATGGGTCTCTGCAGATAACCTTGATGAGGGGAAAGAAAATGACGCAGTTACGTCACAACAAAACCTCCACATTTTTTGTTCTCATGCACTGAGGTTGGACACAAGTTTGGAAGTCATGGGATTTGCACTATGATGTCACAACACATATTTTACTACTTGCCCACTCTGGCTTGTCCCTGTGGATTCCTATAAGTATAGCTAGAGTGTCTATAGTTGTTAAGACACTTTCAGGAAAAGACTACCCAATAGGTTGTCAGTATTATTTGAGAGCAAATCTTAACCACATAGCACCTGCTGCTCCTTAAAATGGCATCCATTGTTTGTTTTTTAAAAATAGATTTATTTGGACTGAAATTGCATGGAATCACCAAATCATGAGATTTTTGAGGAGGCTTGCATAAGATCTTATGAAGACATACATTTTTTGAGCAGGACTGAAAGTCTTGATGAGCAAACTGTTGAGAAATTCTATTCTTCTTGTCTATGACATGTCAGCCATAATTCTTGGAAAAATCAGTGTTGGAGCTATCAGTCTGAACTCCAAACACCCAGATGATCATGAAATGGCAGCAAAAAGTTTAAATTCTCGGTATTTTTTTTTCTTTTTCACTTAGTGTCCTCAATTCTGCAACTCAGGCCAGATAGTTCTAGTCAATTTAACAACTGCTGCCTACTATGCATAGAATGAACTGCTGGATTTAATTGATTCCATTAGCAATATACTCCTTTCTAGAATCCTTCGTATTTCTAGCCAGAATATCTAAGATTGAATACCTAGGATGTAGGACTGTAGAATATCTGCATCTCCTCTTGGACTTTCTAGGTTAGTTTGATAGGGCTGCTATATTGTCTAACCTGGTGTCCATCTTCTCATCCTTTTCAGGTGAGAAACCCCACAAGTGCCAGGTGTGTGGCAAAGCTTTCAGCCAGAGCTCAAACTTGATCACTCACAGTCGGAAACACACTGGCTTCAAGCCCTTTGGCTGTGATCTGTGCGGCAAAGGCTTTCAGAGAAAGGTGGATTTGCGAAGACACCGAGAGACCCAGCATGGTCTGAAATGAGAACCTGGTGGAATCTGGAAAAACATCAGAAACACTATGTCAGCAAACTTCCCTTTTCTCCTTGTGGGCTGCCCGTGTCCTGCCTGTGTGTCTCTCTCTCTCTGGTCTGACCCTTGAGTTCACTTCCCGCCCTATTCTCACTAAATAGGAAGTCGGAGGAATTTGGTGAGAGTTTTACAGAATTTAATGCAGATTCAAATAGCCTTGGAATTAACATGAAATGCCAAGCCTAAAGAGGTGGGGTGAAGCACCTTTTCAGAATCAAATCCTGGACAAATAACATGTGTACAGTATCTGTTCCCCTTCCACCTCCACCTTGTGGCACAAAAGACCCTATTTAGATAAGCTACTGATATAATCCCACAGATGGGTGTGATAAAGGAGAGTGCGAGTTTTGTTTTGTACCATTTAAGAGTTAAAACATCATGCTTTCATTAAATTATTTATTATTTTTTGCCTGGAAATCTTAAATTGACAGTGGATGGAGCAGTTGAGAACTGACGACTGCCTTGTGTCATCAAGTGCTGTACGTTCCATCTTTCTGTCACAAACACAGAAATATTCAAATAGGTGTTGAAAACAAGAGAACTTTTCTTTTATAGCTCATTATTAAAGTAATACAATGAGCCTATTGAAGTGGGTAAAGGAAGTCAAAAACATCAGTGGGAGTCAGAGGAAAAAGTTTATATGTTCTTCTAGACAACCCACCAACCCCAACCACAAGCAAAGTGTTAATATCTTTGTACTGTCCGCCTCCTCAAAATTACAGTGGAAGATCCTACTAGGCCACTTCTGTGGGTTGTTCTGTGTGGCCATTTTGTGTTAGACTATTGAACACTAGTGGGGGTCTGGGGCTACGTGTTTTTTTTTCCTCTTGAGGAAGAGCCTTTCCCCACTACTTCAGCCTCAGTTTTATGGTGTCTGCAAGGGGGAAAGTAATAGTGGGTGCCTCATGAGGCAATTATGTAATTTGTGGCATTTATGTGACGATGCCACGATGTGTGAGATTTACATCATGGCCTACATGTCTGTCTTTACTAGAAAACATATTTTTTTCCTCTCTTACATTCACTGCTAGTGTAAGACCCTGGGACTAGGAACCAGCAATCTTTTATTTCCTGCTGCCGTTTTCTGGCACCTCCAATTTGTACCTGCAAAAAGATATCTTGAAATAACAGGCCCTTCCCCCCCCCCCAGTTTTCCATTGCAAGTGAGTCTTCTTTCTGGTTCTTCAGCGGGGTTGCCCTGAGGTCAAAGGTTGAAAGACCCATGATGCTCTTTACAGATTAGGATACTGAATAGGAAAAGAAACGTGCACTCAAAGCAGAGAAGATCATAGGTCCTTTGGACCGCAGCTAGGCACCAATATTAAATAGGGGTACTGGACTGCAGCATCACCCTATGTTGCGTTTCACAATCTTATCTTGGATCAGTTTTATTTAATGCTGTTTCCTTATGCCATGCATTTGACTCTACAGTAATGACTACCAAGCTGGAAATTTGAGGGAACACGATGTCTCAGTTGTGTCCTTGAAAAGTTTGAATCTACCCACTAAAGATTGAGAGTCGTTCTACGTACACATGTCTATGTCCATGAAAACAGTCTATCTTTTTCAGGCATTGGGAAGGACGCCATTTACGCGCAACTGCAAAGGAAGAACTAAACATGAAGTAAGCAGGGTCTTAATGCTAGATATTTTAGAGATTTGTCCTAAAAGGGAAAGGAGCAGGTAGGGACAGTGACAAATTTCCGTTCCTGAATGGCACTGAAACTTTGCAGTTAAGTATCAGGTAGGCAAGAAACAGTTTCCCAGTGAGGTCTGTTCATATCTGACAATTCTTAATCACAATGACGCCAAAATGACAAGACGTATCTTGTGACTGCATGGTGCGAGTTTTGCCTTTCTACAGTCATGCCGTGACATTGCACACAAGAAACAAGAGGAGGAGTTTGTATCATAACATCACAATATACGTACACAATTCCTCGTTTGCCCCCCAACCCTCCTTACCTATGTGTGGGGCAGTTTGTTCTGAAGTAGTCCTGGGTCAAAAAGGAGTTGCCTTAACTAATCCTGGCCATACCTCAACATGGGAAGGGAAGAGAAGGAGGGGGGAATCGTTTTACTTTATAGATAGGAACGTAAAGGTTTTTTTTTGTGTAGATTCTACAATGTGTCTTATGTTCATTAATTCATATTTATTCAAGTAAAGTTTAAATTAATAAAGTTCTGAGGATTCTCAGGAATTGTGTTTATTTCAACAAAAAGAAGTAATCAAGTATTCTGCATCAGTGGAACAACCTGCCTCCAGAAGTAGTAAATGCTCCAACACTGGAAGTTTTTAAGAAGAGATTGAACAACCATTTGTCTGAAATGGTATAGGGTTTCCTGCCTGAGTAGGGGGTTGGACTAGATGACCTCCAAGGTCCCTTCCAACTTTTTATTATTATGGATCATCGCACAGTCAGCCAGATGTTCAGACTGGATTTGGCATTTTGTCTACCTATCGAGTCCTTACCCAGGACCTGGGATAGGCATATGTGGATGTTTGATGGTATTACAGGTATCGTCGCAGGATGAAACAGTTGCTAGTAAGGCCGTCTTTTGCAATTGACTAATAGCGAATTTGTCAATGCCGCTATTAGTCAATTGCAAAAGGTGGCCTTACTAGGAACTGCTTCCATCCTGCGACGATACCTGTAATACCATCGCAGAATGGAAGCAGTTGGTATTACAGGTATCGTCACAGGATGATTTTTTATTATTATTATTATTTATTTATTTATTAATTATTATTATTATTATTATTATTATTATTATTATCTTAAATGGAGTTCCAATGGAGTAACCTCCATAAGAATATAGGAAGAATGGTGTATTAGTCTTACTGTGTATATTTAAAATTTCTAATGTTTTTTCTAAAGCAATATAATAACTTCATATAGCATATATTACTTTACACATAGAATCAAAGTGTGCTCTACAGTCTGCAGATGGGGATATAAGATTCTGCACCAAATTTGGAGATGTTCACATAATGTTTATGAGAGTCCACTACAAATATTGTAAGAAAACAAGCCTTAATTCCTATTCAAATACTTTGAAATGCTCCTTGTTGTATGTATTCAGGAGACTTCACATACAATCCCCCTGACTCTGGGCAGTATCTGCAATCCTATACCCGTTGGGGAAGGAAAATAAACTATGGAATTCAGTAGAACATACTTTTGGGTAGGGCACTGCCCAATAAAAGCTGAATATTTGAATCCTCCTGCTACAGTATATGCCATGAGCAACATAATCTGAATCTTCTTCCACAAAATACTGCTGCAATCTTTTTTTTCACTAACCTAGAAGCAACTTCTGCAATTTGGAGCTACTGTGGATTGTAAGAGTTATAGCCTAACATGTCCCATAGCCCTAAATTGGGGGTGGCAACTGAACTGCCAAGGGCATTTTTCCAATATATGGAAGTACTAACTCATGCATTCCGCTGTTGTACAGTTCCATGAAGACTATATTTTACGATTGCTCTGAAGGTGTAGATTGTATTACAGGTTTTGCCACAAGCCTTGGAATGTTTTATTGAGTAAACCTATGTGCCTTTATAGGTGTTCATCCATAGGGTATCTAGCGAGTGTCTGCATAGGAAAACAGAACTTGTAATCAGCAGAAGGAAAATTGGTTCAAAATTCTATTCACATCACCACTGTGTTTCCATCTTATTTTATTTCTATACTTCAAATTATGTTTTACTTTTTATCACTGAAGATCAACATAGGAAGTTCCTTTTCAAAACTTTTTGGGTGATGACTCAGCTACTGTCTGACCAGTATCTACAGTAGCTTTCTCAACCTGCCTGTCTTTAGATATGCTAGAACAGAGGTCCCCAACCTTTTGGGCACCAAGTACCCATTCCGTGGAGAAAGGTTTTTCTGCGGACCGGAGAGTGTGTGGTTTTGTATGCTGCATGCATCCCACAGATGGGGCTTTGCTTGTCTGCACGGATCGGTTGCTGGCATGCCGTGGCCCGGTACTAATCCATGGACCGGGGGTTGGGGACCCCTGTGTTAGAATATAATTCTCATAACTCCAGGCAATCATTAGAAAATAATCCATCATATTTGGAAGGAAGCACATTAGAGAAGGCTAGCCTTTAAATTCAGCTGCCTTTTCCAAGAAGCTTTATGCATGTTAAACTGGTAATGGATTTACCCAGAAAGGAAAGATAAAGCTGCAGAATAAACTTACCACAATAAAATAAGAGGGAAAGAATGTAATAATCCAACCAGCTAAGAATCACAACAGATTATTGAATCTGTTACAGTACAACATTTGAAGACTGCAAATACCTTCCTTAATGTTATTGCTTAGTTGCATTAAAAATGCATGGTGTGTATTATGTGGCTCATTATTCATGAAGCAGGTTTCCTACCTTTTGTCTGTCAAAGTATCCGAAGGAAAGAGTAAGAGGAGATCTGGCACTTGTACACCTTTGTTTCATTTGCTGAATTTTTAATAACACCTGCAGCAAACCAGTTGGTGAAGCTGAGTGTCTGCAGAAGAGTGAAAGGACAGAGCTATCTAGAAAGACTAACCCTTTGAGGTTCTCATTTGAGCCTTGCCTTCATCCAGCCTTGATTAAATTACCTATCGACTATGCCCAGCTATCATGATTCACAGCTCTGAAAAACAAGCTGAATTTCATCTTACAATATGTGGGGGTGAGGGACTGAAATGAGGAGAAAAAAAAGAACCAGCAAGAAAACTCACCACAGAAAAAAAACAAAAACAAAAAAAACACGTTCTTTTTTGCTGATATTATTCTTAGCAGAAAAAATAGCTTCATTTTAAGGGTTTACAACAGGGATCTTCAAACTTGGCTCTTTTATGACTTGTGGACTTCAACGCCCAGAATTCCTCAGCCAGACATGCTGGCTGAGGAATTCTGGGAGTTGAAGTCCACAAGTCACAAAGGGGCCAAGTTTGAAGACCCCTATTTTACAAGGATCAAAATCTTTCCATTTTTTTCTGAGTTTCTTCCAAGTTGTGCAGGGATGATAAACATATCTCTCTCCCTACCCCATTCTGCTCTCATATAAAGCAGTCCGGTAATTTGCATTAAATTAATTGCTTTAAGTAACAAATCCAAGATCTCTGAGTCTGTTTCAGTAATTGCCTGCAGCAGAACATACATAATCTGCATTTAAGAGATTAACATTGCGCTCAACTCAGTGCCTTCCAAATGGATTGAGCTTTGGAGAAGTACAATGCTTGAAGTGTTAGATAGAACTGGGGGGGGGGACCCAATTCAATGCCAGTCTGAGCCATGGAGAGTGCCAGCCATTCTTTATTAGTCTAATCAAAATCATAAGATATCTGTTGTGGAGAGCGAGTTTTTACTCTGTGTATCACATCAGAACCCAGGAAAATCTAAACAAGTAAATGTGCCACTTTAAAACTAAGTGACTTGTTGGATGAGCATGATAGGTGTTATAGTCCAGTTTATCTGCATGTAGGCAAAGGTAACAATAAACAAATTAGGGCAGGGGTCTTCAAACTTGGCCCTTTTATGACTTGTGGACTTCAACTCCCAGAATTCCTCAGCCAGTGTGCCTGGCTGAGGAATTCTGGGAGTTGAAGTCCACAAATCATAAAAGGGCCAAGTTTGAAGACCCCTGAATTAGGATCTATAGTCACACAGTGCAGGCAGTTGCCCTGTTAACAAAAAGCTCTATTCCTGGCTCTGTCTCCTAACTCAGATTTGTATATAAGTTAGAAGTCATACTTACAAAACAGAATGCCTTTTCCTAAAAGTGGCAGATGACGTTCTCTTTCCTTGAGCTGACGAATCATTGAAGTTGCGTAATGTTTTCACGAATCACTGAAAAACATTAAAAACAGGCAATACATTAAAAAGTATGGCTTCAATGGCTCATGAAAACATTGCACAACCTCGGCAGTCCGATGGTTTAAGGAACAACGATGCCACCTGCCATTTTTAGGAATTGGCAGCCCATTTGAAAGTACAGGTTGTCCTTACGTCATACATCCTTAAACCTTGGCACTGCCTGTATGCTAGCTCAGATTAACTAAAGCTCATTGCTAATATCACAACACATTAGGCCACATGGAGGACTGGCTTGTGAGTCAATGGGTTTTAACAATGGAAAGACTCTTCTGACAGCTATTCTCTATTCCCTCTTGTTACAGTAACTGTGGTCTACTGGCAGAGTTTGGTCTCTGCTCTGCTGTTGTTTAGAAGGCTTGTGAAGCCTCAGCTACTCACCCAGGCCTTTGGTGAGGGAGAATGTTTTATTGTAATTTTTTTGTTCTGAGCCAGACCACATATTACACCCTGCTTTTCTACTGATATTGGACATCTTATATTTTTCATCCAGTTTCTCCTCTTCGGTAAACATGCTCACAAAATGCACAAATCCTTTCGTGGATGATGATGATGATGATGATGATGATGATGATTACTATTATTGATCATCGCACAGTCAGCCAGATGTTCAGACTGGATTTGGCATTTTGTCTACCTATCGAGTCCTTACCCAGGACCTGGGATAGGCAGATGTGGATGTTTGATGGCATTACAGATATCGGCGCAGGATGGAAGCAGTTCCTAGTAAGGCTGCCTTTTGCAATTGACTAATAGTGAATTTGTCAATGCCAATGGTGTTCAAGTGGTGCTCCAGTTGTTTTGGGATTGCACCCAAGGCGCCTATTACTATTGGTACTACACTTGCTTGCTTTTGCTAGAGTCTTTCTATTTCTATTTGTAGGTTTTTGTATTTTGTTATCTTCTCCAGTTCTTTCTCTTCTCTTCTATTGTCTCCAGGCACTGCCAAGTCCACTATCCAAACTTTTTTGTCTTTCTTATTGACAATTTTTTAGTCCAGTGTGTTATGTGGCAGGTGTTTGTCTGTTTGAATGCTAAAGTCCCAGAGCAATTTAATTTCTTCATTTTCTATGACTTTATTTTATGGTCCTATCAGTTCTTGCTGGCAGGCAAATGATATTCCTTTCAGATCTTCCAATTCACCATTGTTGCTACTTTGTCACTGCTTGCAGTCAGTCTGTGCAATCTTCTTGTAGCAGCTTACCAGGTGGTCCATTGTTTCTTCAGTTTCTTTGCATAGGCGGCACTTACTGTCTGTTGCTGTCTTCTCAATTCTGGCTTTGTATGCATTTG